GGAAGACAGCGATTGGGGCAAGCTTGTACCGGTTGATTTCAGCTTCGACCATCTTGGGGTCGAAGTTTGGTAAACCCCTGATGACTACCTTGAAGGGCTTCTCACCGGGGATGTCGTGCGTGAAGAATTCCGCCTTGGTATCCTTCAGATGTTTCACGGCCACTTCGTACTCCGCTTTTGTTCGGAGCATCACCTTGGTGCCGATCCTGCCGAGCTTAAACTCAGCTGCAACGCCCAGCGATGAAAGATCGCCAATCAGCGTGTTGAGTGGGACTTGCTTCACCACCAGTGGAGGAAGCTTCATTTTTGCTGCACTCGGGGTGGCAGCAGTTTCGTTGTCGACGGCGTCGGCAAAATCACCAATGACGCTGACGTTCGTCGCGGTGGCATCGTCCCGTCCACTCGCACCATCGGACTGGCCTTGATTTTTCTTCCTCTTCTTAGACCGCTTCACCGTGGCTGAGGTGGGATTCCCTACATCGGTGGGAAGAGTAGCGTACCTATTCGAAATAGGTACACTCAAGCTACCCTCACCGCTGCTCTTCTTCTCCGTTTTCTCTCGGAGCCTGCTCCGGGAGCGCTGTCTTTCCATCACACGAAGCGACCGACACTACTGACGACGCGATTAAACTGCGAATGTTTGGAACAAACTAGAAACTTTAGAACAACTCGACAGAGCGAGCAAAGACCGAACTGTACTGCTTGACGTTCAAGCAGAGAATCCATGACATCGCGACGCGCTAAATGCGTTGCCTTAAATATGTTTGGCTGTCTACTTCTTTCCTACCTTCCACCAATCAGCGCTCGCTACGCGCTCGTTGGTTTGCAGTCGGTCGGTCGTCAGTCGGTCGGTCGTCAGTCGGTCGGTCGTCAGTCGGTCGGTCGTCAGTCGGTCGGTGCTGCTGCTTGCATGCTCATACCAAGCCAGCGGCAGCGTAAGGAAATGATCAAAGCTTGTTTGTAGGGTCTTGATACAAATTACATTATGTTAGTGTTGGGGACCGATTACCCGCGGTCGCCTCGGGGTTAGTAGAGGTTTTTAAAGTATTGGGTAATCGGGTAGGGTGATTTACATCAAACCAAAACTACTACTACTACTTACATTACTTTCGCTCCAATCGCGAACATTCTCCCCCCAGGCAAAGAGATACTTGGTGGACAACAGACTGGGTTCATTCAAAGGGTAAAGGGGCCAATTTCGAGATTGGGCGGCGGAAAATACCATGAGAGGTTTGGACATCTGCAACCCTAACAATTGAATCTGATCCGGGGTAGACCTTCACAATTCGAGCCAGTTTCCATGCCTGAGGTGGAAGGTTATCTTCCTTCAACAATACTACCATCCCTGGAGTTACATTCTTGAAATCCTTTGTCCAGGGAGTTTGGAGGGTATTCAAATATTCGCGAGACCATCGCTTCCAAAAATGGTCACGGACACGCTGGATGAGCTGCGAGTCTATGAATGTTTACATCTTCAAGTGAAGGTTCCGGAATAGCAGTCAATGAGCGACCAATGAGGAAGTGCCCGGGCGTTATAGCTTCGAGCTCATTGGGATCTGAAGAGGACGGTCAGTGAAGCAGCACGGGGAACCTTTTCAAGGTGCGTTTTGGTACTCTTTACTCCAGCTTTCCACAACCCCCCGAAATTGAGAGCCCTGGGTGGAATAAAAAGCACTTTATCTCCCGAGCCTGATAGAACTCATTTAGCTGTTCATGCAGTTGATCACTTTTGAACAACTGATATAAATCGTGCAGATCAGATTTGGCTTCCATTGTCCCATTGACTATGACGTGCTGCAACAAAGGCTGAAGCAGACAAATCCGATACCAATTCCAAGAGTATGGCCTTGGTGGTCATACAAATAAAAGACAAATATAAGCCTTTACTAGAACAGGTTTCCTACTACCTTGGCGAATAAAAACCGGTCCTGCGAAATAAACTCCTGAAAAAGGTGGAGCTGGAACGACTCTAACCTCTGGTAGATCACCCATAGATGGTTGAAGCAACCTCGGATTGGATCGGAAACATGTAACACAAGACCGGATGACTTTCCTGACGACAGGTATTCCGAAGTGATACGTTCCGACTTGGGAGACCTTGCATTCACAACAAATCTCCTAACGTATCCAATCACTCGCTGAAGCTTTCGGAATGAACTAAAGGCACTCATAACTGGAAGGGTTTTAGGGACAAGGACTGCAGTAGACACTGTTACTGGTTTCAATTCCGGTAATTTATCATAGGAAAGAACGAACATTTTGCAAATTCTACAGACATTTCTGAAGTTTTACGAGCCTAGGTACACGCTTAGAAAAATTCATGTAAATTTAGGTGCTCTGAAAGTGACATATGGGTCATTCCAGCTCAAGTGGGTACATAATTTAAAAAAGTTGTGGTCGATGTCACCGATTTGAGCCAAACTTGGTCAAAACGCTTATTTTGGCATTCTGAACAAACGCCTTTTTCGATCTAATGTGCCTAGATTCTTCTAGGCTACAACCCTGGATTTTCGAGATTTTCAAAAATGTCAACTTTCAGAAGACATTACTCCACAACTAAATTAGCCATTTGTGATTTTAGAACGTCAATTTGAAGGTTTTTTAATGTAGATTCACAAAGGTGTACCCACGTTTTGTTTTTGTTATAGTAACTACAGTAAACAGACTGATTACAGGCAGGTATCCAAATTGTCAAAAAATGGAATAATTTTACCATGGGCGGGATATTATTGGCTCAAATTTTCACCACACTTTGGAAAACTCTTCTACTTGATGTGTTATCAAGGGCAAATGATTTCGACAAATAGTTTTTGAGATATGACCAGATGAGTGAGTGGTAGTTTTGAGCTTTTCTAGTGGAATATAAATGCTATTTGATATTTTTTATTTGCTCTTGAATTCCTTCACGCTGATGGAAAAATAATATTTTTTATGTTATTCTTGACATGTTTTGGCCAGGATTCTGTTAATATGAAATCATAACTAGCTCATTTATTTTCTTCTGTCCATAATTCAATTGTGGTACTAAAAGTGAAAAATATGTTCCTATGGGATACAGCCTAAACGTTGTGCTTTAGAAGTACGATAAAATCAGATAGATTAGCAGGGGAAGGAGGGGCATAGTGAGTTTCCTGTGCTTTAACCTTGGATTTCTTATGGTTCAAAACAAATTAATTGGTCATTAATCATTGCAATGGTGATATCAAACCAATTAATTTGTTATAACTGAGGGGGTCAGAAGGAAAGGAGTGTAAGTGACTTTGATCGATTCTCTTCATCGACTTTCTCTTTTGATAGTTACAGCTTTATAAACAGATTTTGCGCTATTTCTGCCACATAGTTTGATAAAGGTGGTTCTCATCTAGCATTCAGAATGGCACACGAATCAAGGAATGTGTTTGCAGCTGAATTATTAACGAAAAAGAATGCCGACGAAGAGAATTGAACAAAATCCCTTACACCGCTTTCCTTTCCTTCCCCTCAACTATAATAAAATTATATCTAAAAAATAAATTAATTGCTCAAATCAGGGTATTATTCAAGTAGCAGCTGTCATCCGCAACTGAAATTTTATATACCTGATAATCTATCTGATTTCATTGTACTTCTATAGCACTACGCTTAGGCTGTATCCCATAGGATCATATTTTTCACTTTTAAGACGACAATTAAATTAAGGACAGCAGTATATAAATGAGCTAGGTATGATTTCAAATATAGAGAACCCTGCCCAAAACATGTGAAAAATAACAAAAAAATATTATTGTTACATCAGCGTGAAAGAATTCAAGAAAAAAAAAATAGCATTGATTTTCCACCAAAAAAGCTCAAAACTTCCACTCACTCATCTGGTCATATCTCAAAAATTATTTGTCCAAATCATTTGCCCGTGATAACTCAGTAAGTAGATGAGTTTTCCAAAGTGTGGTGAAAATTTGAGCCTAACATATTAAGAAATAAAAAATCCCGCCCATGGTGAAAACAGGCCATTTTTTGACAATTTGGATACCTGCCGGCAATCAGCCTGTTTACTGTAGTTATTATAACAAAAACACAATATGGGGTACACCTATGTGAATCTACATTAAAAAAAACCTTCAAATTGACGTTCTAAGATCACGAATAGCTTATTTGGTTGTGGAGTAATCTGTTCTGAAAGATGTAATTTTTAATAATTTCGAAAATCCAGGGCTGTAGCCCAGACGAATCTAGGCACTTCAGAGCAAAATCAAAAAAGGCGTTTGTTCAGAATGCCAAAATAAGCGTGATGGCCAAATTTGGCTCAAATCGGTGCCATCGACCACAGGTGGTGTACCCACTTGAGCTGGAATGACCCATATACGAGCGTAAATTTTGACATAAATTTGAGTTATAACAGACGTAAAATATAGCTTAATGAAACGTACTTTTCGTCAAGCAACAAACTCTGCAGTCTCGGATCACTTAATTTGGTCATTTCCACCCACCGTAGACGCGTGACGTAATTTATGGATGCTTCCTTATTATAAGTTCCATCGTTGTTGATATTGACAATATAGATTTTTCGCGTGTAACGCTCACACACTACCAGGTATATTTTCGTTTACAATTGCTTGTTATTCTCCTCTGGTATATGTAAGAATGAGTTTGTCTGCCATTTGATATTTCATTCAATTTTTTTTTTAATCTTCCGAAAGAAATCAACAATTTGATATTACTTGGCGAAAAATATGTAACGCTTCTTGATTCCGCGAATAATGAAACAATTGGCTGTTGATCAATCGTGCAACAATCAATTGAAAACATTGAAATTTCCTCCTAGCACACAAACAAATAGCGAGTTATTCTTAGGTTTTTCTTAATTCCCCCCTCATGTTATTATTAAAAATTTCTTCATTTCTTCCGCCATAATATTATTATTCAACATGCAGCATCCGTTCACAGCATCGCCATTAAAAAAGAAACATCCAATGAACTTTCAAGCTCTTTAACAACGCAATAATTAACATTCACCGGCTTACCTCAAATACTTGATGTCCGCATTGGGAATCGCCGGTGCCGGAATAAAGTCATCCTTCATGCACGACAGATCCCCAACGATGATGATGCGCTGCAGAGAGACGGCTTCCGTCCGAAGCATGTCATCCGAGGCGAACGTCACCGAGCTCACCCTGGGATTGGGCTCGGTAGCCGGGGCAGGTGGAAGCTGCTGCAACTGCTCTGGCGGTGGCATCAGCACAAGATCCCCTGGAGGAATAGACCGTGAGTAAGGGGTTTGCAAAAAAAAAGTGTGTGCATGGCTAGCTGAAACTACCGTTAATCGGATGACAAAAAACGGAAACATCTGTGCGATGCCGGTCGTCGTCGAATGGCTTCCGGCTGACGGACGAGTTGTGAATGTGTTGAGAGATGTGGGAGCAATAAAAAATGACACAGTTTGCCTGCGAGTGGGTGGCCTTCGGCTTCGTTAAAGCACGGAACATGTGTGTTTGTGGGTTCTTTGAGGGAAACAGGATTAGTGACTGTGGGTTTCTTTCTGGTCGACCGTGTAGCCAGGATTTCCCGGGGAGTGTGCAAGTGTGGTCCTACGCTTGTTGAGCAATTAACTATAATGATAGCTTTGTCCTAGTTTGGCACAACTGTCCGCTTTCCTGTTTTTTAATGTATAGCCTAAGGGATATTGTATGCATGCGAGCGTGGGATTGAGAACGGAAACTATCCCATTTGTTTTTGCTCAAATTGAGATGCCTGAAAGTACTACACCGGGGATCGTTAAAATTTAATAATAAATGTCCAATTTTCCAGAACCCGATCAATGTCAGCTCCAAGGTACAACTTAAAGAGAATCACTTTAACACAGCCAAGGCCAGATTCACGTTCCTATCGCAAAATCAAATTGCAAACAGAAATTGATTTCTATAGAACCCTACCCGGGAAGTTCATTAGACTTGCAAAATTGACAATTGTGACAGCATTGTTTCACCCTGATCTTTTCCTTTCACTGCTTGTCTATTGATTTTCCCTGTCCCATTGAATCGAGAACAGTGCAAAAGCAAAAAAAAAAAATCGTGTTCCAAATCGAAACAACCAACGGGAGGAAAAAGAATTTCACCTACCTTTCATAAACTTTTTCAATTGCTTCCGCTGTTTTTCCAGCTTTTTCTGCCTCCGCTCCGCCGGTGTCGGTTTCCTCTGCTGCTGATCTTTCTGATGCTGCCTCCACCTGTCACCCTCATCCGACAAATTTATCATTTCCCTAACTCCTCCAGCTTCGTTCCTCTCCTCAGTGGCTGCATCCCTTTGAACTGTTATTTGCATATTTCCGTCGTAAATATCATCGCTGTTTAATACGACTAGCTCCTGACCGGCTTTCCTGGCCCAATTTTCGTCTCGTCTTCCCGACCGGATGGAGCTCTTCTTGGTCGACGTCATCTTTCTCTTCGATCCAGCGCCCGCCGTCAGCTGCGAAGATGACTTCTGTCTATGTTTTTTCCGCCCTGGTTTCTGGTTCTGCTTTTGCTGTTGCTCAGATTCGTTTAATGATAATTTGGTTACGCTGGTTAGTGAAGAATTTATCTGCTCCTCTCTCCCCCGCTGATCCTCGTTGGCGGAAGGAGCATTTGAATTCCAGCTGGAGTCGGAACTGCTGCCGGCGGTCGGTTTTATCCGTTTGATTTTCTTTTTGTGACCTTTTCTTCGGCGACCCTTTTTGCCACCGCCCGGATGTTTCTTCCGGGGAGCCCCGGTGCCATCGGTTTCCTCCGTCAATCGGATGCCAGCAGCAGAACTACTACTTTCCGAAAAATTCTCTCTGCAAACGAAAATCGATAGAGAAAAACAGAATAGATCATGTTAGATGGGAAACGTGATTGCTGCTGGTGTTGCGGAATGAGGAAATAATAGAGGAAACGCTATGCTTTGAACGATAAAAGAATGGGGTCATGTCGAATCATCCCGCCTGATGGATGGTATCTCATAAGGGTTGCTTCTGGGTATGAATTTTATCAAGAATCGGATTATGGAATGTACTATCGATCCTGGCTGTTCTATTGAGGTTGAAGTAATAAAATTAAGCATCACAATGCAATGCTACGTTATATGTAACACCAATATTTTCAATTCTTATCGTAGTTGCTTCACAATTAACTACACCTTAAATGTCGTTTGTTCAAATATATTGAAATCATGATTTTTACTAAGTGGAGATCATATGTTTTGCTTCATGCATGGCGTTACGTACCGAATTTGTTGAACCAAATGAAATATATTAATGAATCGATTGACTGTTTATCCACAACATGCTACTGGGGCTCCAGTATAGTCGACCATATAAAATCCTCAGCAAAATCATTAAGTGCTTTTCAGAATTATACGCATAAGTTTACCAACGAGCTTTATAAAATGTGTACCTCCTCAAGAAATTTTCCTAAAAATAGTGGTTGAAAATTGTGAAAACATTCCACATGGATATTCCACGTTAAAATTATGTATGGCAATGTTATGGCCAGTTAAAGGAAAGAGAGTTGATGTTTCTCCATTTTAAATCTCATTCATACAAAATAAAAATTTAAATTTTTGTTTTGCATTTTTAGCTAACCAGTAATTTACTGAGTATTGTACAGGTTGTTTGTTTTTGGATGGAGATTATGATATGGTTTGGTTTTGTCCATTTAATAAGCAAAACAGATGAAAATTTATCATTTGTTCTAAGTAGCCCCTCTCTACACATTTCTGACTGCGGTTTTATGGCGAACATTTTGTACGATCATTCTTGATAGTTCGTTTGCTTCTCATTCCACACCATAAAGGTGTTTCTGTTGTGTACATCACATCCTATTATTATTTACTTTATTTATCATACAAACATACGACAAAGATAAAGGTGTTCCGTGAGAAATCCCCTGCAAAGTTGGGCCAGGTTGTACTCAGGTGGTAATGGGACAGATAATTACATCAACGTTTCATTTCTTTTACTTAATGAGAGATATATTTTATGACGAGCTTAGAAACAAATGTTCTGTATGCATTTTGAACGGGTAAATATTTGATGAACGGTTTGATTTTTTTTAGTTTCTAGTAGCAAATAAAAAACCGCAAAAATCTATAGTCGAGTATAAGTAAAAGACATTGAAGAAGTCTGCACATTGTAGACGAAATACATGTATAGCATAAGCAAATAAGGTTGTGGAAAATGGAAATTACTAATCCTTCTCTCTTGATTTACACAGGTATTCCGCTAAGACGCCACATTAATCAGAATTTGACTTTACATGTTAATTTTTCCAAGAACATAAGAAAAATAAACCGGTTTTCTAAGATTTTTTACATTTTCATCAACGTAGTCAGCAGGTGGCTAAAGTGGCATTTGCCATCCAAAAGATCTCGAGGAGTGGATAAACTTCTCCTATGTTCCTTAAACATCTAAACAGTTCCCGCATCTTTACTTCTTGACAATTTTCTCTATTTCTACGAATTTCCATGAACTGCTTCCAAGCTCTATACTAATATTTTTCCAAGTTCTCTCAATTCGACCTTCTCAGAACATTCATGACCTTCTTCAAACTTCAGGAAAGACCTTCAACATTTGCGTAGCTAATAGGAATTGTAGGAAGCCAGGACCGATGATGTAGGTCCCTCCAGATTTGTCTGAAGATCAATATTGCAATGTAGAAATGTCGGTAGGCACTATAGACCCTCCGATTAGCTACGTCAATGAAATTGAACCTTCTGTACGCATTTTTAAAACATGTGACCGAAACAAAGCTCCCAAAACTTCAAATCCTGAAGTTCAAAAAAATATGCTGAACTTCTGTGATGCTACCTGAGCATCTACGAAATTCCTTGAACCGTTCGTTGAGCTTCTACAATTTTGGATGTGCTTCTTTGCAGTTCCTTGAATATTAAAAAAAAAATCTCAACACTTTAATGACGTTTTAAGAAGATCCTAGAATTGCTACGTAATTCGCTGAACTTCTACAAAGTTCGCAGGATTACTATGAAGTTCGCTGAACTTCAACAAAGTACTCTGAACTTTTCTAGAATGTCATTGATACGGAATTTCTTGAACTGTTCTTAGTCAATTATACTTTACACGGTGTAAGCTTTAAAACAAATAAATAAGCATCGCTAGAGCTTTGATCATTTGAAAATATAACTTTTTAACTTGCGTTTGACACATGTTTAAAAATAATCCACCCAGGGATCCCGAACAACTTTTTTTTTCTATAAAATAGAATTATTAGCTGTGGTTTTTTTCATATTTATTTTCCGCCAACTTCTGATCTGTTTCATTAGTGCCTGCAACCGATATAGGGAAATCAAGTAAATTTAGACCTATTAATTAAACACCTCAACACATGAGCTGGAATCAACAACTTAAATTCTCTTCGGAAGAAAAATCCACGAGCTGTTAGTAAAACCTGAACGTACCGTATACGTGATAATGTTTGCACCATTGAGTAATGTCAAAATTAAAAAAAAATCTCAAAAATTTCGTTTTCGAGTTTTTCTATTTATTCAAAGGAGGGATGTTTCTCAGAGTCTTAAACTATGTTGATCGTCGATCGAGTTTCCACTTGCTGCAATGACGGCCTCCACACGCTTCCGGAATGCATGGCAGGTTCTAATAATGTAGTCTGGATCCATTTCTCTCCAGGTACGGGTCAATGTTTGTCTGAGGCTTGCTGTACTCGGGTGGCGTGTAGAACAGGCCTTGGCCTTCATGACGCGCCATATTGAGTAATCCAGCGGATTAAGATCGGGGCTGGATGGCAGCCACATATCCTTTGCCCAGAACGGAAGATGTTCCTGCAACTACTTCTGAGTGCGGTTCGAGGTGTGGCACGGAGCCCCATCTTGATATGAAATACAACATTTGGCTTCGGACCGTACTGTTCTTTGATCCACGGAAGAACATACTTACTTAAAATCCCGATGTAGACCTCCGTGTTGACCTTGTCGCCTTCTGGAATGAACACCGGGTCTATTTTTTGTCATCGGAAGCCACCAATCCAAACACCATAACGCTAGCAGGATGCTTGGCCAGATACACGTTCTTGTGCTCGTCGGCCACGTCTTTTACCGGAAGAGAACTAATATACCGGTCGGTTCTGGAAATTGTTACGGTATCGACGGTAAACATGCTCTCGTCGGTGAACAGGATTACCGGATTTTTTCGCTTAAGGAACTTCAAGATTTGCTTGCATCGTTCGACTCGTAGCTCCCGGATGCGGTTGGTAATCATGTGAGTTTTTTTTTCCGTGCCCTCGACTTCACCCCGCAATCTTCATTTACGATCTTCCGTGCCCGAAGTCACTGATCCCGTGTTCCTTTGCCATTTTCCTTATTGAACGCACTGGATTCACCAGAATCTTCCTTTTGATAGCAGCGATAACCCTCGGAACCCGAGCTGACCTCGGACGACCTGTGGCCACCTTCGCGGATAGTTGTCCTTTCTTTTCTCGGTCTAAAACCCTTTTGATGGTCCAGCGGGACACTCCCACGGCGATTGATATGTCTTTTTCCGACATTTGCGCGTAGGACAAATCACGAATACGCTGCCACTTCGTCATGGTGCAACTGTCAAACTAAGTAAATCATTTTCTTTTATACACAGCCTACTACGGTATGAGCTATAGGTTAGGACGACCTGTCCTTTCCAATGAGTCAAAGAAACCTTTATTTCACGAAAATTGGAAAAGTAAGGCCACAAAATTCAAAAGCAAGGATATGAAAGATAAAGCTGCTGCCGTGAGTTCTTATGTCAGAGAAAAAACAACAAACGATGATGGAAAAACAACGAATAATTACTCTAAAACCAGTTTTGTATTGCAAAAATGTTCCAAAATTGGTGATGTTTTTTTTATGATGAAAGGAACATTGGGGAAAAGAATCTCTTTCTAAAAATTGGCATTGATGCTGGAGGTGGGTTTTTGAAGATTACATTATCCTTGGTGCAGAAAGAAGCCAATGAACGCTACAAGGCTGGTGAGAAGAATTTTAAGACCACTGGTGTTAAAAAGCTATTGTTACTAGTTTGTTGGAATGAATTTTTTTTGTAGGTGACCTGAAAATTATCAACATTTTGCTCATGTTTATCTTACCCATGTTTATATTATTTCGCTCCGAGACATTTTGGAGCACACGAGAAGTTTGCAATTAATTACTTTAATTTCATTAATGAACCGTTCCTAAGTGTTTCTTTTAGCGACAAAATATTTTGCCTCTGCCCTCAGCCAGTGTCGCACTTAAAGCTTGACATAGGGTAACCAACTGATTTTGGACCCCTAGAGGAAGTGAGATCACGTTTATGTCAAAATAATATTATTTGTTTATTATTATTATGCAATTTACATGCGGTTGTGTTTGAAAGCTACTCATCTTGGATGTAAAATGTCACTAGATGTTTTATTTATTGATATATACTCGAAAAATAATTCTTTTCACATCATGATATTCACATATTTTGGACCCTTCCACTTGATTTTGGACAGTGTCCATGATATATTTTGGACACACTGAATGGGAACGAATATATTTTGGACATGCTGAAGTTCTTTCAACCTATGAGCCTAAAATTAATTACGACGGTCACTTCTTCCTATCTCGCATTTGTTAGGTCCGTCTAGGTGGGAAAATTTTCAAAGAAGGTGCCGTAAAACGGGGTGAAATTGATCAGCGGGGTGAATTTGATCGCTGAGTATACCCAATATTGTACTTATGCATAATATGTTTACAATGTATACAAAGATACATTCGTACGCTTAGTGACGAAAAACATGTTACACATGAAAAAATATCACGAGAAATTTC